TGAGTATAACTGTGGTCTGCTGTTGCATCTTGCAGGAGCAGAGGGATATAGTTTTCAGTATTATTTTGATCTGAGTTGCCTTTAATTATACATTATCCCCTATTAGAGGTCACTGGTATAGAAAAAGCTATAGTATGGAGTGTTCTAAATGTAGAACTAGTGCCACCATGATTCTCAGTATTCTCTAACAAAACTCTTTTGACAGTGGCTGTCTTCTGGGTTGTAGCGTCATGTAGTCTGCTAGAAGTTTACCAATGTTTCAGAGATCCTTGCTGCCTCCATCATCAGGGCAACGAGTGAAATCCTACATAAAAAAATGTTTTTTCATTATATTTAGCTTGTCTTCTGAGCTGTGACACTGTAGTCATGTAGGTGATTACTGGTGTTTCAGAGAACTGTGCTTCCTCCATTTGCAGGAAGTGATGGAGACAGGAGGTTCCTCTGAAATGTTAGTAATCACCTGTCTAAACTTTCAGTACTGTATAAAGAAAAAGAGGAAGAGTGTCCATGCTACCACTTTGACTCAGGAGGCTTGGGAAGCTGGTAAATAACAAAGTAATTGGAAAATAAGTAGGATCTGTTGGAACTGATAGGAATCATGGTAATGATGCAAGATTTATTGACTCAATGCTGCATTATTCCAGAACACTAGATGTTCCAGTTGAGCATACCCAGCCCATCTTATTTCCTGTAAATGTTATTGAAGTTATGATTCTAGACCAGAAATTTTTGTTTGTAGATAAGACTGTTTATCATTAAAATATTTTAAATCACTAGACCATAGAAACATTTGTTAATGCTTACATTTTAGGGACAATGTTGTGGTTGAAATACTTTCTGTGAAAATGATGTAGAAGCAATCAAATCTGTCTCATGGAGATGCACAGTGAATATTAGCATAATGTACCAAAGCAGTTTACCTGAAATGTGAATTGATGAATTATGTATAGAAGAAGTACTTCCTACATTATATTTAAAAACTGAAATGTTTGATAAAGCTAGACGCAATCCATTTGTTAAGTGACTGTTGGCATACAATCCCACCAAGAACACTCTATAGTCTAAACATTTCTTGTTTTCATATGCAAGACCATTTTTCATGCTAATGTTGATTTGGGCATCTATCTCCTGTTATAACTGGAGATGTAGTTGATTTGGTGTTATTATTACTTACTCAGATCAGTAGTTTAACCCTTTGTCTGTCATTCCCAGGACTAGCATACGCTATATCATGTTGTCATGCATGTGATAGTCCGGTCTATAACACTGGTTTCCCCTTCCCAATGACATCAGAATGACCAGCAACAAATTGTATATGCTCCGCTGTCTTTCAGTAAACGTGGAATTATTTATATGTTTCTTCTGGTCACCAGAGTTAGTGACAGTCATGGGATCAAATATTGTATTGAACAGTGGAATTAAGGTTAAAATATTATGGAAGTAATGATATATATTACAATAGCTTAGGTCAGGTCATCTTATCAGTACTGAAAATGCAAGTCAGATATTAGAGACTACATTTGCTGGAGTTAATAATTGTTTATTTTTTATTTTTAAGCAAATGAAACAGCCATAGTAGTCAGCTTGTAACAATTTCTTTTAATAATTCAAGAACAGATATAATATATGCAGTAAACTTGAATATTTTTATAACTTAAGAAGTGCACAAGTTTTGTTACAATACCCCAGAATTCGTATTGCCTGTACTACTTATAATATATAAAAATATGTTGCTGCTAGAATGTTTTCATCAGTGGATGTAAAAACATTCATAGTCTTCTCAACTTGGTCATGAAGAAATAGCAGTTTTGTTATGCACATGGGTCTAATGAATTGCACAAATACTAATCAATATAGAATTAAAATTAGACAATTTCATGTTTAAAACTCAGCTAATAAATATTTTATATGCTACATACACTTTCTATGATGTTTTGTTTGACATTTCTTACATTCCGTCCTGCCTATCTGTCAGAAATATTTCAATTGTTCATAGAAGACAGAAGAATTAGTTCTGTAACATTTGTTTCTTCAAATAGTGGTATATAACACATTCCACAATGAGTGAAAAGAAACCAGTGGAGTATTTTATTTTTTATAAACTTATCATTGCATGAAAATTTCTTGCTTGCATGTTAGCAAGAAACTGTTTTTACAGATAAGGCAGGTGATAAGAATGTGGCATTAATGCTTGCACATATTATAATCCAAGATGCTGTTGTTTATTTAGTGGAGGCCAAATGAATTTTAATTATTTTACATTTTAAGAATTACGCTGCAGACCAGTGTCTTTCATCTAAAGTCTGAGGAGAAACACTACCATATACTATTAAAGTGTTTCCACTTTAAAATATAAATGTGATACATGGTACTTAATGTGGCATTTTTATGAGAATTTTAGGAATGGCACAGACTGAAAAGTGATGCTTTCCAAAACTTGTATGGTAGCTGTTCAGTATTTAAAACCCAAAATAGATCTAATTGCTGTCTACTATAAAAATTTGTGATTAGTCATTGTCTTCAAAAAATGACGTCATCAACAATGCCAAATATAAACAAACTCGGCATTGTTGTGGAACACAACAATGCCGAGTTTAGTGTCTTACTCAAGATTTTAAAACGCAACC